ATTTATTTTGAGAGAGAGAGAGAGAGCAGGGAAGGGGCAGAGAGAGAGGGAGGAAGAGAGAATCCCAAGCAGGCTCCATACTGCCAGCGCAGAGCCCAATGTGGGGCTCAAGCTCATGAACCATGAGATCATGACCTGAGCTGAACCCAAGAGCTGGACTCAGTCAATAGACTGAGCCACCCAGGTGCCCCTAACCTTAGATGTACATAGATGTAGAGAAACTACCAGTGTCCTCCCATAGAGGTACAGATAATCTTCCTATCGCACCAGAGATTCTTTAAATTTACAGTACCAACCTTTAAAAAATTTTTTTTAATGTTTATTTACTTTTTGAGAGAGAGAGAAGGCATGCGGGAGGAGCAGACAGGGGGAGACAGAGGATCCAAAGTGGGTTCTGCGTTGACAGCAAATAGCCAGACGTAGCGCTTGAACTCATGAACCAGGAGATCATGACCTGTGCCAAAGTCGGATGCTTAATCGACTGAGCCAACCAGGCACCCATCACAATATCAACCTTAAAACCCTATAGGTTGATGTTAAAATATATGAACTAGCCTGTAAACTGGATTTGTGTTGACAGTTCTGCCCAACTTAATTTTCTGTAACTGGCTTAAGAACTGTTGTACATGATGCAGTATTAGCCTACAAGCAAAAGAATCATTAAATAATGGGTTGGAGTAGGTTACCTCTGAGATCTCTTATAGCTCTAAAATCCTATAGCATTAAAATATGAAGCTGTTTATTTTCTGGGCTTAAGTTTAAATCAGATAGCAGCTACTTGGTTAGGTTGCTGTTAGGCTGAATAGGAAAATCCATTCTACCGATCACACAGATGCATTTGTTCTGACCCACCAGACACCAGATGACTGACTAGAAAGAGGTGTGGAGGGATCAGGACAAAGGTGGATAGTCAACTAACTACCCAGTGCTACTCAAAGTGTAGAGCAGGGCCTGGTACATGGTACACATAGATTTTTACTCAATGCCTTAAAATGTGCGAGGAAAGCGGCTTTTCTTTCCAGAAGGACTATTAGACAGATTGAGTGGAATTTCTTATGTTTCTGGAAGCAAATTCTAATTATTAGGGCAATATTCTGTTCACAATTGCTGTTCTTTTCAGAGCCCCAAGGATCTGATGGAATCTGAACACAAAGGTTTTGTTGATTTTACAGACTAATGGACCCACAGGTGTCTAGGTCTTTGTATCCGAACCTTCCTCCCTGCCAGCCTTCTGTGTACATGCACAATTATTGCTTTTCTCTTTCCTAATATAAATCACCACCCGTTTCTGGCAGACTTTCTTCCTGAGATCTTACAGCTTAAGCACCAGCATTGACAAAGTAAATAGATGGTAATTATTGACAAATTCATTGCTAGGTTAATGTGTACAT